CCAAACGACAATCATTCACTTCCTAGCTTCTCAGCCGAAGCTTGTTGACGCATGCAGATTTCCACTATATACACAATTAACCCTCCTCGCTCGCAGGAGTGCGCTGACCGGCCAACTCCACCCAGGCATGCAACAGTGCGCAACCCTATCTTTTCAACATTTTTCAACCTCAACATCCACCCTGACGGACAACCGCCCGGCCTCTTGTCGGTGCGGGTTACCTTGCAGCCACACGCTGTGAACATAGTTTGCGACATGGTAGTCTGTCGCGCCATCCAGCACAAGAGGTACGGAGAGCTCAATGCCTTGAAGCGCCATCTTCATGAAGTGCTCGGGCCGCGTCAGGCCAGTGCATTGCGCCAAGTCCACCAGACTGGCTTCAACTGCACCAGGAGGCAACTCCCCAGCCTCCACTTTGAGCCAGTTCCCCGAACTGTCTTGCACACGGAAAACTGGGCCCTCCTGGCCCTCAAGGTAAATTTCATGTTCGAAAATGAGTACGCCCTCGACAACCATGGCTGCAGCTGCCTCAACATCATCACTGTCTGCAGAAGCAATCGCCCTGAGTTGCGCAGCCACCTTCGCAATGGTGTCCTTGACAGCAGACTGATCGCCCATAGTGTGGTATGCTGCGTATTGCAAAATGCGGGCTTAATGCGTTTCCTTGAGCCCACACTGCAGATTAAACAGTGCGGCGGAGACCACTGTTACGTACGCATAGCCCAAATCGGCAAGAGCCATGTCGTGTCCATGTTCAAAAGCTGGTAAGCCTGGCCAAATACAGTCAAATACAGGTACCTTTTGATACACATCACTCTCGCATTTTGTCTGCAATGCTAACACCCGCAGCAACGTGCCTAGAAGACAAGCCTCTTTGGGCAAAAGCAAATCAAAGCAAAACGCGATTCGAGAATTTCCTACGACCTGATTGTAAACTCGTGGATGACATTCTTGGCGGCGGCATTCTGAGCAACATTCCTCTGGCTATTGCCAGATGCCCGCGACTTGATACAAACAGCGTAGAATGGTACAACTTCAATGAGGAAGAGCAAATGCAGCAGGCAACCACGCTCATCGCGCGTGTAATGTTGCTCGACCGACAGCCAGTCCTGATATCGATCAGGGAGCTGTGGTAAGGGCAGGCACATGCCCGAGTCTGCAATTTGAGCCCATTGCGACGCGCATGTCAGAAATTGACCCTGTTGAGTCTGACACTTAGAAAGCCGTCTGAGCTCCGCGCACAAGATTTGCGCTCGAGAGATGGTACAAGTTGGGCTCGACACCTGGCCAGAAGTCAGCTCAGCACCCAGTTGGCTGGAAGGGGTCAAGAGCAGCCTTCCCAGGAGGAATCCCAGCCTCCTCCATCGGTGCTGGCGAAGTTGTCCCAGTCAAAGCCTTTTCTTCCTGTCCAGTGTGTCATGTGTGTCTAGGGGTTTATGGCTCAAGGTGCGGGGTTCGGGGTTTGGGGGCTTAGGATTCAGGGCTCAGGCTCAGGGCCCGCCGTCCTGCATGGCTGCTGGAGAAGCTTTCGCAGCCAGAGCCACTGGCTCCTGCGCAGCATGTCTAGGACCTAGGGTTTAGGGATTTTAGGGCTTGGGGCTGAAGAGGGCTCAGGGTCTGGGGTTTAAGGCTCACGGTTTAGGAGATATCAGGGTCTAGGACAACCCTCAACCCCAAACAACCCTAGACTTTAGACAATCCTAAGCAACAAACAACCTTAAACCCTAAACACCCCAGACATCCCAGACCCTCAACAACCCTAAACGCTAGACAACACTAGTGTTCGGGGCGAGAACCCTGCGTCCTCGGTCGCGGATGCAGGAGACGTCCAAGTCCGATCCTGTCCAGGAAGCGTTTAAGGTTCAGGGCTTAGGGTTCAGGGCTTGGGGCTCAAGAGCGTTTGGGGCAAAGCCCCGGCGTCCTCCACTGGTGACAAAGACGGCATCGGAGCAGGAGCTGCAGAGATCGCAGAGTCCTGCTCAGCAGGTGTCTAGGTTTGAGGGCTCAAGGCTTGGGGTGTAGGGTTGAGGGGCTCGGGGTTTAAGGTTAAGGAGGGTTCAATGTCTAGGGTCCAGGGCGGTTTGGGGCAGCACATGCAGCACCCCAGGAACCATAAGAATCGCCAATTCCTCCACTAACGCAGAAGTGAGCGACGCGAGCGCACAAGCCTTCGCATCCTCCTGGGCTTAGGGCTTAGGGTTTAGGGTTGAGAGGGGTTCAGAGTCTAAGGCCTGAGGTTCGAGATTCAGGGCAACACCCCCACGACCCCAAGACACCCCAAGACCTCAGCGTCCTCCACTCTTGGTGACGAAGCCAAAGCAGCATTCCTGGCTGGGTTAAAAGTTCAGGGCTTTGGGTCTAGGACTCGGGGTTTCGGGCAAAGTAAGGTTCATGGCCCAGGGCTTAGTTTTGGGGGGGTTTAAGGCTCAGGGTTTGGCGCCCCAAGACCCCCGGCGTCCTCCGTTGCGGACGCAGAAGCCCCAGCACGAGCCATTCCTGTCCGGCAGGTGTCTAGGGTTAAGGGCTTGGGGTTTAGGGTTGAGGAGCTCCAGGTCTAGGGCTTAACCCCCAACGTCCTCCGATGGCGAAGCAGAAGCCGCAGGATCCGCAGGAGCAGTAGCCACTTGATCCTGTTCGGCAAGTGTTCAAGGTTTCAGATATTTAAGGTTCAGGGCTTAGGGTTCGTGCTTTTTCGATCTTTAGGGTTTGGGGCCTGGAAAGGAAAGCTCAGGGTCTAGGGCTTAGCATCCTCCATGGGCGATTCAGAAGCCAAAGCAGCAGGATCAGCAGGAATCGAAGCCGTCAAAGCGTCCTGTCCAGGGGATTTCCAGGGCTGAAGGGTCAGGTTTGGGGTTTGAGGCTTGAGGTTTATGGCTGAGAGAGGTGAGAAAGTTCAGGGTCTAGGGCTTCGGGCTAGAGGTTTTGAGCAACCTACCAGCCTCTCCCAATGCCGAACCAGACGCCACGGGAGCAGGATTCGCCGACTCCTGTTGAGGAGGTGTCTAGGGCTTAGTTGAGGGCTTGAGTGGTTTGAAGCGACAACGCGTAGGTGAGCACGTGTATGTCTGTTTCTCTCGCAGGAAGCGCTGTAAACCCGACAAGCAGGACATCTCCGAGGCACTGCCAGGATAGCTGATTCCGAGCGACCCCCAGATACCAGACAACAACGTAGGTATTATATAGCCGAACATAAAGAATCACAGTGACCAAGCTCATCAAGCTGGAGCAGATGAGCCAGCTCGGGGGCGCAGTAAAACAAAGGATCCTCAGATCTGAAATGGCCCAGGACCGTAAAAGCCTCAGGCAAATTGCAATCCGCACTCACCGCTCACTACTTATTACTACTACTACTACTACTACTACTACTACTACTACTACTACTACTACTACTACTACTACTACTACTACTACTACTACTACTACTACTACATACTACTACTACTACTACTACTACTACTACTACTACTACTACTACTACTACTACTACTACTACTACTACTACTACTACTACTACTACTACTACTACTACTACTACTACTACTACTACTACTACTACTACTACTACTAGGCTCCGACGTTTGCCCACCCTCTGCCTCCTCTTCTGCCCATCCCGACTCCATCCGTTCTGCCAGAGCATCCATGTGCCAACCATGATATCGTGCAGATCAGACTCCATCCATTTCCGCAGAGCATCCATGTGCCAACCATGATAACGTCCAGATCAGACTCCATCCATTGCCGCAGAGCATCCATGTGCCAACCATGATAACGTCCAGATCAGACGCCATCCATTGCCGCAGAGCATCCATGTGCCAACCATGATAACGTCCAGATCAGACGCCATCCATTGCCGCAGAGCATCCATGTGCCAACCATAATAACGTCCAGATCAGACTCCATCCATCATTGCTGCAGAGCATCCATGTGCCAACTATGATAACGTCCAGATCAAACTCCATCCATTGCCGCAGAGCATCCATGTGCCAACCGTGATAACGTCCAGATCAGACTCCATCCATTGCCGCAGAGCATGCATGTCGAACCGTGTGTGTCGGGGACATGGAAGCGAAGCAAGCACTACCCTTCCAGTCTTGCTGACAGTACTTTATGGGTGGAGATTTTTTTTCCTTTTTTTTTTGCCTTTTTTTTTTTTTGGCCCTGGCTTCTCCTGTTTCCTAGGAACGGGCGGCATGGACATGGGCCGGGGCCCCTCCCGCGGCCCCCGCCCTACCCCAAAGCATACCTATACTGTACTATATCATTTTATACTGTAATATGTTACATCATGTTATATGATATCACATCATTTTACATCATATCCGCCGAGGCCACAGGCCCAGGCGTTTTGGTGGTTGCCTCAGGTACCCTCCACCTAATCCTCCTCCCTGCAGCCCAAATGATTCGTGACACCCGCTTTTTGCGTTCGTTTGCCACCCCCTTGTCCGGCCTCCCCTCATTTTGTTTGATTTGTCGGCCTTTCCGCCCCCTCCCAGGCCTCCTCCCCCCTCCCTCCCCCCCCAGCCCTCCCCCCCTCCCCCCTCCCCTCTCCCGCCCGCACCGCGTTCCGACTTCTTCTGCCCGCATCCGTCTTCAATTCCTCGTCCTCGCTTTGGCTTGTGCGTCAATCCACGGCCTTTCCTTCTTTTCAGGCTGCGTCTATGTTGGCTTCTTGCTCGGGGCGGCATGGCTGGGGCCTTAACTGGTTTGCAGGAAAACAAATACAATGCAGCGGCCAGCATGCACTGCACTTCGCGTTTTTTTGGACTAGTGTTGCGTGCTTCGAGAGCGCCGGCCCCGCGATCACGCAGCTGCCACTCCACATGGACGGCTGCGGGTGCCTTTCGGGAGGGGTGCAGGGTTTAGGGTTGAGGGTTTAGGGTGGCAACGGTCAGGACGAGGACTTCGGTTTGTTTTAACGAGACGCATGCAGTGGTGGCTGCTGTTCGTACCCAAACAACTCCAAGACCCTGGCTGCATTCACTTCTCTCCCGACGGCGGAATTAGAACACGAACTGAAGTTTCTGGTTGGCCAGGTGGCACTTGGCATCTTGCAGTTGCCGATCCAGACGATTGGCAGCAGGTGCCTTCGCGAAGGCCAACGGCGGAATTAGAACACGAACTGAAGTTTCTGGTTGGCCAGGTCGCACTGGCATCTTGCAGTTGCCGATGCAGACGATTGGCGGCAGGTGCCTTCGCGAAGGCCAAGGGTTCAATGTTTTGCAGGGCTGGGGGTCTAGAGACCATGCTGGATTGCGAAACTTTGAACCTCGCTAATGCTGACAAAGCTTGTTCAAACTGGAGTTTCGGAACATGTCTGCGGAAATTTTCCCTCACGCCGCTTCAAGTGGGGGCTCCGTAGAGGCATGCGCATACAAGCAGAACGCGAACATATTGTGTGCATGCTCCTCAGAAAGTTCGGCTGTCAAAGAAACTGAAAAGGTTGAAAGATATGTTGTCGACTTGAATTGCAGACTCCGCCCATGACGACGTCGACCAGCCGTTAGCTGAACATGACGGAACACGTGGCAAGTCATCCAAAACCTTGCGAGGAGGTGCAACTGCGGCTAGAGCAACAGGCGGACACGCCTTGGCTGCAGTGGGCGGAAGCCTCGCCAAGATCACTTGTTTTGTTGGACTGTCGCTGCTAGCCTACCCTCATGCCACACACAGCCAAGAGGTTGTTTTCCGGCCCCTCTGCCGTCGATGCTGTTGCAGCTGCCGGTACTCAGCCAATGTCAACATGTCGCATCCCGGGAATGTCACCTCGCCAAACTGTCTTGGCGCCATCGGGCATGTTTCTGTATGAACCGGCTTCTGGCACTGGCACTGCTTGCGGCGGCTGAGCTGCCACAGCTGCTTCAGTCGTTGGATGCTGGTTTCTGTTTCGCGCAAGCACTTGGGGCAACGATTCTCACCGCCACGTCTGCAATTTCTCATATGGCGCAGTCGTTTGCCGCACTGACGGCAAGAGGTGCAGTCGGGGCACAAGCGCACCTTCCGTTGTGTGCCATCGTCATCTACACATTTGGCTGTCAGTTGGGAGGCAGTGCACGCTTTTTCGCACCATGCACACCAGGCGACGTTCGGGGCGGCTTTGCTCTGCTCGCACGTTCTTCTGGCCTCCAACGGCACATCACCAGCGTGACGAGATTGGCAAGCCTGGCAGCGCGCCCACTCGCCCTGTGCCCAGATCTGCGCTTCTGTTTCTACACCGAATGCTGTCCAAGGGTGCTCGCATGGCGAGAGGCCTCGAAGCTGGCACTCCGCGCAGATGTACGTCGGTGTTAGGCGGCGCTCAGGAAGACACGTCGCCCGAGCCCACTCTGCAACCGAGCGTTGCCAGTTCCAGTCCTGCAGGAAATTAGTGCCCGGTACGTACTTCAATTAAACTAGCCAACCGCTAGCGAGGGCTCCTCAAATGCATAGGGTGCTTGCACATGACTTGGCTTCACACTTGCAGCTACATTTTGAATTCAAGTGATGCCTCCTCGAACTTGCGCTGCAGCAGTTGCTGACCCAGTGGAGCGCCGTTGCGAAACAGGCGTGAAGAAAAAGGTCGCAGTATCGCAAGTGCATTCAGGTCGGTTGTCCTGGACAACATGACGTAGGCTGCGACGGGGTCCGTGTCCACACAGCAGAAAAGTGCAGGCAAGCTTTGTCCCTGGGCCATGTGGGCAGTTGTTGCGAAGTCTGGCACCAGAAAGTAGCCGGTGCGAAGTGCCGACATGCCGCTTCGTCGACACAACAGCCAGCTCCTGGTCGCCGGCGTGAACAGATATGTGCCACGTGCCAACGTGGGTGCTAGCTGCCACTGCGCATCAGGGAACCGCACATAAATGCCAGCCGGTTGTTTACTCAAGACAAAGCCGCCTTGGCAAGGTGTTGCCACGGTTCCTTCCTCTAATGTCCAAGATACAATATGCCCGCGTTTGCCCTTGAACAGGCGCAGCTTTTTGTCCACTTTCTCGGTCAAGCGCACCGGCAAACCCTCCACCAATGGCAGCAAACTTGCCAAGTGGGATGTTTCCTGGTCGTGCCGACTGAGCCAGCGCAGCCGCTTTTGCCGCAAAGTGCACTCGTCCAGCTGCAAGTCAGCCGCTGCCAGAGGCCGGTCGTGTGCTGCTGCCCAATAAACAGCGCGTCTGTGTGTGTCTGCAAACTGTTGTGCTCGCAGAAGAATAGCTCTGAAGCGTGGGACGTTGTATGACGTCAGCAGCGGAGCAGTGTCGAAAGGCGGTTGTCTCCACACAGAGCTTCGGAGCTCTTCCGGCCGCAGCACACGCCGGCATTGCTGACCTTGGCAGCAGTGCAGCCCGAAGCCTAGCTATTGACACAAACCCACATGCGTTCGCGGTCTCTACTTTAGAACTTGCAGTTCCGGGTGTTGAGTCCTTGGTGCGAGTTGCTTCTCATGCAAAGAAACGTTCAAAAAGATGAATCATGTGCCGCCAGGGACGTCTCGCAGCACAGGCGGCACACTCATCTTTGATTAGCTCGGCGCCACTTGCTCCGGCCAAAAAACGTTCGATCCAATGTCTGCAACCTTCAGCTGGGCCAAACAGGTCGTCGGGACAAGAGCACATAACATCACAGCCCACACATTGTGCAGTCACTTGTCGAGTGGGGTACCCGTGAAGTAAAGCATGCATTTGCAGCGGCAGGTTGCCCTGCCGGCAGGCATCCAGCACTGCCGCAAACCACACATCTGGGCAACGCATGGACTTGTTGAACCGCCATAGCCGGCCGACACCGAAGGGTGGACGATCCCACACAATCCTAAGACCTTGCAGCGCCGATGCAGACGGTGCCTTGGCCGGGTCGCTCCACAAAGCAGTTTCGGACACAGGTGGCAGTTGTGCTTCATCTCCGAAAAGCAGAACATTGCAGCCGCCAAACAGATGCTTGCAACCGGCTGTGTCTTTACAGAAAAGCTTCGTGTCGCGAGAGACCCGACTGACGAGGGACTCAAGCTGTGCAAGGAGCTCAGCAGGTATCATAGACACTTCGTCCACCAAGCAGAACCGCAAAAATTGCACTCGGCCGGCGATCACCTGCATGTCAGTCGGGCCACCATGCCCGTCACGTTGCAATGTCAACCACGAGTGGATTGTTTCTCCCTCAATCAGTGAAGCCATGGAGTTCTGATATGCTAAGCATATGTACTCACGCCCATGCTTCCAGCCAAAGCACTCCTCGAAACAGTGCCGCAACCACCAAATCAGCCTGGACTTGCCACAGCCTGGCACTCCGGTCACAAGATGCACCAACGGCGGCTCTTGAGACAAGCTTCGCTCTGGCCAGGCCTCAACGGCGGCTTCATGTTGCAAACGCCGCAACATCGTTGCTAGGAACTCAGCTTGCGAATCTGTCGGCGGCTCTGCTGACATCTGCAGGTCTCCAAACCACCGCCACATCTGCGTGCATGCAGTTGGCGGGTACCAGAAAGCCTCTCCAGAACGGTTTCGCCGACTTCCTTGCTCGTTCATGCTGTCTGGTGCAAGCAGGCGCCACCTCGCGGCCTTGTGTTCCTCCAGTTTTTCCAATGTGCCAGGAACGGCCGCTTTGGCGTCCGCTGCTAGCAAAGGAGCAGCCTCCGAGCTGCCCCACAATTCGTCCAACAGATTCATAGCCGAAGCATGACGTGCATTTTGTGGCAAGTCCACGTTTGGCTTGTCGCCTCGACACAGGAGTTGCTCCAGCTCCGCCGGGGCGACAACCACGGGACGTGTTGCTTCAGATGCAGCCGCTTGCCTGCCGTTATCCTCGTCGTCATCCTTCGTTTCGCCACCACGTGTCGCCAACACGGCTCGCAGCACGTTTCTAACCAAACTCAGGGCATGTAGCGACATACTGCCACTCCGGATGTGCTCCTCCCAAGCTGCTGCAAAGTTGAACACGAGGCCAGGCAAGTCGCTCAGCTTCGTGTCTTCCGGGGGGTCGGCAGCAGCCGCTGAAGTCCACAGCGCGCACATAGGAACAACAGCAGCATCGTTCCGCCACGTCCACGGCCTGGCTTGCATTTCCGTGGCAAACATACACAACGCAAAGCGCAAACGCCAAACTCCACAGTGCAAACCCGAATTTGCTTGCAGAGCCCTCAAATGTGAACATGCTCCTACCGCAGAGTGGGCCTTAAAAACAGCGACATGTACTTGGCATTTTCTTCCGTGCTTTGTGTAAAGGTCGGTGTCCGCAGCCCCTCGAGAATCGGAACCACAGGTACAGGACGGCGACGGAGTACCCAGCAATGACGCAAGTTTTCTGGTTCTTTGTCACAACCCGGAAACACGACTTCCTCTCTGGCTAGCTTGGCTTCGTTAACAAGGAAGTGGAGGCCCGGTTGCAGCTTCTCCGGCGGTGTGCCTGTTTCCCAAGCTAGGACACCTGACAGGGACGCGTGGCACGGCACTCTACAGCATGCACGACAAACTACTTTCCTAGCTGACAGAGCCTGCTTCAGTCCATATCGTCTTTCCGCTGCCAGAAGTACTCCGTGGGGCTGTCAATCTTGTGCATGTCCATAGTTGCAGAAACTCGTACGCCGTCAACCCGGCGAGCCCCCACTGCATCGGACGCCAGCCATACAAGTCCATCCAAGGTGGATTAACGCTGCGGCTGCGGCCCGTCTGCGGGAGGTGCGTCCGCACGCGTACTTCGCGCCCAGCCATGATTCCGTCCAGCCGCTGCATCCAGCTGCGCACATCCACGACCGTGGTCTGGAATGTTCGCACACATTCCGCTGCCAACGGATCCTCCGGGTTGGCACAGATCGCCAGATGCACCGACTCGACTGCTCCTCGGAGGGTGCCAGCCATTTCCAGATCCGTAATCATGCGACCGGTCACCAGCCTTGCACCCTTCGCCAAGCTCCGTGCAGCATTAGCTTCGTGCAAGTCGTTCATTTTCTGTACACACGCCTGCATGTCACGCTTGCCTAGCTTCTGTGTCTTCTGCAAGTAACCGCCGAAATACCCGGACACCACAGCTTGCAACCGTGCACTTTCTCTGGCCGCCAACCGCAAATCACTTGTGCCGCAGCAAGAACGGCAAGAGCATGTGCTTTCATGGGTTTCTTTGATGACCGGCAGCAAATCGTTCAACTTCACGTCGCTGTTGCTGCCTCCGACGCCCAGCAAAAGTCCTGCTAGCCGGCATGTTAACTTTACGAGCCAGGATGGCGTTCGGTGCGGTAATCAGAAAGCTCATTACTGTATTGTTGGATAAAGATACACTGCCGACCCTGCAATTGGACAGCCCAACGAGTTTAGGTCGCCAGGGTCTACAGTATGAACCTAGAACCAGCACTGGCTGCGTGATCTCCCCCGTGCCCTTCTACGTCAACAAACCGGACTATGACTATACACGCCGCTGGCATTTCGTCTGTATGCGCCTATATGCGTGCCGTTCAGCCATTCCGAGTTGCGCCTGTTCAAGATGCGGCACAGGACGCTGTACCGACCCACCAGTGGCAGCTGCCGTGCCATAGCCAGTCCTTTGCAGAGCAACAAGCTTTCGCCGCCGTTCATCAGCTGCACCTTTGGGAACCCGCCCTTGCAAACTGCTTCTTGCTGTGTTTTGCGACTCGCCTGGCAAGCATTCGGCACTCGACGTGTGCCATTACGCGGGTCCTTTGGATGAATATGATGTTGATGTTGCTTCTGTGCCAGTTGCACAGCCTGGTTCAAGGATGCCTCGAAACCTTTTGCATCGGCGACGTAGTCTTCGGCACACCACCGACCCCGGTCAGAACCATCTGCGTCAGCGTCTCGCCAAACGACCGGAGGCAATCTGCCTGGACGGGACTCTCCCCAGCACCGAGGTTCCGGTTCCTCCGTCTCGCGAAAGCATGGCCAGCTGGACTCCAGCTCCTCCAGCTCCGCTTCCGTCAGAGACTTGGGATACGTTTCGCAACAAACGACCTCCGAAAAATGCTTGAACTCGGCGGCCGTGACAAGTTTATCGCGTAGCTTCTCGGCCAATTCTTGCATGGTGCAAACTTGATGCAAACGTTGTACGTAGCACCAAAAGTGCAAGTGCAAGGTTCCACTGCTTTTCTGGCATTCTACAGCACCCACCAAGCCGTCCACGCGACCAAACAGTCCGCCATTCAGCTCGGCGCACGAGCCCAGCCAGCCCGTCACAGCAGGCACCAGCGCCGTCGTCTGTGCAGTTGCACTGTGGACATCGATGGCACATGCGACAGCCTTCGGTGCACTCACTCTTCTACAACACATGGACGCTCACAGAGACACACTTTCTAACAGACATCGACACACACACACACACACATGAAACAAATGAAAAAAAACGATGGCCCGTACCTGCCTAACAAGCTGGCCAGGACCACGCGAATCTGCACGGCAAATGCCAGGGCTGCACCGAGTGGGTCCTGCAAGCACACACACGACTCCAGACGTCCAAGCGCCTTCAGCCTTTGAACTCTGAGCCCACATCATGCTCTACTTGCAGCCAAACCTGTGCCATGAGCAGCTTCCGCATGTCGTACCCAGGCACGTCAACTTCGAACTCGTCTTCAGCCCGAGCTTGCATGTCCGGCATGTTGCAGCCCATCCAACGTCGAGCTTTCGGGTCGGTCTGCATGTGCGGATCGTTGGCACGAGCACGCATCAAGCGAATAGCTAAATAGTTTTGACGCTCACCTGGCGTCACCGTGACAAACAAACCTGGCCCGTAAACCACGTTGGCCCAGTAGGCCACATATCCGATGGAGCGACGCACTTCCTGCGTGCCAGGCAAGGTTTTCGTTCGGAACTGGAAATCCTTGAGCAAGCTTCTCTGTTGATCGGACAAGCCAATTGCGTAACGCAATTTCGTGAAGTCGTGGTTGCTGGGGCGCAACTGGCCAGTGGTTGACCGATACACACCAGTCTGCAACTTGGTGTACAAATCTGCAGCAGCTTTTGCCGCCGACTGCTCCCACTGGCCGCCGTCAATACTCCTTGCCGCCGGCTTGTACACGGAGAGGCTGAGCCCTTGATTCAGCTCATGCCTGAAAAACAAGTTGAACAGCCCGGGTATCAAGTTCCAGTGCCTGCGAAACTGACACTCTGACCTTCTTGGCAAACCCCGCACCAAGTCCCACAAGCTCACTGGGGCAGGGTCTCTTTCCAAATCGGCTTCTGCACATTCTTCGGGAAATAACACGCGTTCGGCAGGCCCCGGCCGTCGCCACCGCGGTTTCCCTTCCACATCGAACCCGCCCACAGGTCTGCGGAAGGTCCACGGAAAAGCCACAGGCAAATAGTGCGCACAGAACTGATCCAACAACTGGCTTCCCAGGGGCACGTGCAGTGTACCCAAGCGACCCAGGACTCGTCCGTACTCTTCGTGAGCTTCATTCCACCCTCGCCCGGAAGCCTCCGTCGCGAAAGACAGCGGCCGCAACGTCGGCTCCAATTTGGGCAACTGCGTGCATGGCTCCGCCGGTGTCGCAGGTTTGTCCCATATCAACGACTCTTTTGGGTTGGCCTGACGAGCTGCGGTCATCACAGTCGACTGCAAAATTACGTCGGGCACGAATGCCGCATCGCCATATTTACACCGATACAGTCTGTCCACACGCTCTGCCACCAGCTCGGCCGAATCACATGCAGCAGTGTAACCCGCAAAACCGGCTGCCCGCATGCACGCGATCAACTCCTGCAACACATCCGCCCGCAGCGTTGCTCCCTCCAAGCTGGGAAATGATTCTCGGCCGGCCCCTACAACATGAATGTGCATCAACCGGCCCAGGTCAGTTTCCGCATGTGGCAGCTCAGCACTCAAGTCGGCACATTGCATTTCGATCGATTCCCACGGCATCTCGAAGCTGTAAAGGTTGCCGCGTGAGCCTGTGCGTGACTGAGGCCCACTCAGTCGCTCATTTACCAAGTCGCCATAGGGAGACTCCAAATAGTAAACTAGTATTCCAGTCCATACCGGTGAGCACGCAGCAGCTTCCAGCCACGATACATGCTTCTCCACCAATATCTTGTGCACAAATCCGTACAGATGATCGTTGGCTATCGCCATTGGCGGTCCCATCCAGCTCTGGTGGGACTGGCTGCCCTGGATGACCCTGCAACCTGGCACAGGCATACAAAGTGGTGCTTTTTGCAGGAGCTTGTCTTGCACACATCTATATAACCGAAAGGAAAACGTACCTCCACACAATCGTCAAACTCAGCAACACTCATGGCACACAGGCAGCTGGCAATCCCAGCACAGTGTCAGCGGTAAAGTGCTGCACGCAGATCTAGCAGAGGCGAAATGAGCACCAGGGCATTCGATGTCCTCCGTCGCGCCTAAAAGTTCCCAGAAGCGACCGTCGCCACCTGGACTGGACGGCAAGCGAACACACCAATCACGCCACGCCAGAGGTTCGTCGCCCAACATCGGCTCCAGCCCGTAGCGTGCTTCGTACAGTTGACGACCACAGCTGTTCATCAACACACCTGGGCAGCGCTGCTCCTGCAGGACGAACCAAGCCACCGGCCGTAATTGAATGGCTGTACATCCACTTCCACCTGCAGTTGTGGGGAGTGACGCCGCTTGGACGTGTATCTGGCCACAAACGAAACAAATCAGACTGCGTACCTTGCGCAGTGACCGAGCCGTGACTCGCAGCGCACGTCGGGTCACTCCGCCCACTTTCGGCACGCCTGCACGCTCAATCCTGGCGATAGCCGCACTCAGCAGTGTCAAAGAACTCGGCGCTAGCCAGGCGGCTGGCCATTGGACACAGAGATCGGGCGCATGAGGCGACGCTGCGCCAGCCAGATGTTGCATGAGCTTCTCACGTTCCTCTGACACAAAGTCACATCCGGCAAAAGGACAATGGTAGGCAGGAAGCCACACGTACTTGTTGATGCAGGTCTCTGGTTCCACGCCGTTCACGGTTGGAAGCGTCGGCTGGTCTTTCAGGCGCAAAGACAGCTTGGCTGCACCTACTGCGTGCAAACGTGCAGCTGAGACACAAAAAGACACACAAACAGACGTACCTACGTCCTATACAGTCTGTTCGCGACATTGTACACTAGTGTTTAGTGCCAGTGCGGAACACGACACAGTCTGCAATGAAGTCGAACTCGGAAGCCATGTTCGCAGTGCCACAAGCTGTTTCAAACCACTCCTCTTCCCGACTGCACTCTCGAACGTCATCTGCGCAAGCACCGTCTTCAATGCCACCTGGCGCGAGATGGCTCGTGCCGGCGAGGACCTGCAAGCAGAAGCACGTCTAACACACATGGGCAACAACCTGCAACGCAACTAGTGCCCGGCAACACACTACCTATTTTCCAGAAACCCGCCATCGCAGCCTCCGCCGATGCAGCGGTCCCACATGAGGCATCCTTTGAAGGAGACGGCACGCCACAGTCGCAACTCTGTGTTTGTGCCGGTTCCTCGGGAAAGGGAATGAAAGTGTCGCGCTCGCTGTCAGCCATGCCCGACCTGTCTTCGCAAGCCCCTGCACTCGAACTTGAACTGAACATAGCCTCGTCGTCTTCCGTGCAGTCCCGCTCGCTGTCCGCCTCGCCGGCGAGCTCCTGTCTCAGCAAACGTTCAAAGTGACCACGCCCGCCGCTGCGTCGAACGATCAAAACATGTTCGGCAGTGTCTCGCCAATGCATCCCAACCAAAACAGCCATGCCTGCCTCTACTGGCAGATCGTAGATCAAAAGCCCCTTCTGCATCCACTCGGCCAACCACAGCAGTTCTTCGTCGCTGAAAAAATGCGACGGTGCCTGCACACATGCCAAATACGTGTGCCACACCTCCGACAGAAACCCGGGATGCGGTAGAGCAGGCGCGGGACCGCTGCGTGCAATGACATCTACAGCACCAGCTTGTGCCCGCTCCGGCAGCAAGGCCCAGAACAGCTTCGCTTCCGTGCAAGCAGGTTCTGCAGAGTAACCTGCCCCAGGCAGCACAAACTCGTGCCACAACATGGTTTCGAATCCTTCCAAGGGCCGACCCCACTGCTCGGCCTGAAAACCACATGCCCACATCATCTCCAGCTGCTCCACCATTTTGTCTCTAGCTCCAAGAAGTTTCACGGAGCCGTCCAAACTGGCATGGCCCAGAAACGCGTGCAGCCCGCACGCGCCGTCAGAGCACGTGTTGAAGGCTTCCACGTGCAAACCCGCCATGGCAGCCGGCTCACTCAGCGTGCCGTGCCATGTTCTGGAAATGTAGCCCCAGCCCACGGCTTCTGCAGGCAGCGGCGAGACCACTCCAGCACGTGCAGGTCCGCTTTCTGTTGCCATGTTATTACAGCGCGCATACCAACTGAAAATTCGGGACACACGTGTTTGGGCTTAGCTACGACAGCCGCCGGCTGAAGTGGTTTTCGTTGCACTTGCTTCTATTTGGGTCTTTCTTCTTGTAGCTGCTGGATTCGACAAACAGCGCTCAAATTACCTGAGCAGCACACGTACTTACGGATGCAGGCCGGACAGCAGTGTAAGTTTTTTCATGTTCCGGGTGGTACCTGCCATTAGGATCGGGCCTGACAGTCTGCGACAGTGCACAACCATGAGGCCTACGAACTGTCTCAGCAGCTCAAGCACAAACCCTCTCTCTCCCCGTCCCGCGCAAAGTCTTCAACAGAGCTGAGCTTCGGCGCCTCGCCGCAGTGTTCCTTTGCAGCGACCTGGCAACGGTCAGGCCGGGGGATTCACTACAACAGACTGCTTACCCTGGGAAACTCCCACCAGACATGCCACAAAAGACACTCTTCACGGCGTCGGTGGAGACACCTCGCAACGTCCACTACTCTTTCTCTACTTTGGGCACACACAGCATAAACATTCGCCAGCGTGCAATAAATGTTCTGTATGTCTGTCCACTGACCCATTGTCATGTTGTCCTACTGCCCAAGTGCGGGTCGCCCGCAGGCCTGTACAGGGTGACACGGCATAAGGCCACGTCGCTTATGCGCGGCCAACCTGTACAAAAAGAAGCGGCATCCCACGCGGATCTGTGAAGGGTGAAACATCGTCCATGTTGAAATGACTTTGTGCCTGAGTCGCATGCCGCGGCGAGGAGCGGTCTGCTCAACCCCCTCGTGGGGCTTGAGCCGGAAGAAGCCGTCCCAAGCACCGGAAGGGCTTCATCTGGGCTTGAGCCTGAGTATCGTATTGTGCCTACTTCCCATGCATCGCAAGGAACCGTCTGCACAATTCCTTCTCGGGCTTGAGCCGGGAGGAGCCCTTTGAAGCCCCGGAAGGGCTCCAGCTGGGCTTGAGCCTGAGTCTCGATTAAGGTTTAGGGTCAAAGAGTCGGGGCACAACAGAGGGAATGAAGGTGTGGCTGACAGCAGCCGGAGTCGAAGAAAGAAGCAAGCTATTGGCTGTGTTATAAGCCGGGGAACATTATACTCTACATAATGCGTGGAAAAGCAGAAATCGCGACAGCGCAGGGGCTCGTTGAGAGCTCGGAGCCGTCTGCCAACCATTTCTCGGGACATGAGCCGGGAGAAAGAAGTTGTTGTCTGACAGAATCCGGAGTCGAAGAAAAAAGCAAGCTATTGGCTGCATTATAAGCCGGAGAATATTATTTATACACATATCTATATAGATGATAGATATTTACTGCATATATGTGCATCGTCTAGGAGTAGAAATGTCCGACAAAACAAGGCTGCAGCAGCAGCTCGGTCGCTGCGTGCCCGCCGCGCATGTTCCTCTGATGTTCTTTTGGTCTTGACAGCACCCAAAGCTCTTACAAAGCAGTCACGCCTGCTGAGAGGAATCCGACAGCGCACTCGAGACTGTGCCCCACTGGTGCGACGACCTGGATTGGAGATGCTTGTTACGAAGCCTCTGAACTTGTTGTGTACTGTCCTAGGTTTCCGGTGTCCGTCGCTTTGGGCTCAGGTTTGAGGCTTGTTCACGTTGGGGTTTAGGGTGCTCCAAGTTCCGGCGGTCTCATGGCCTGCTGCCCCGTCAAGTCCAACCCCCCCAAGACCCATGAAACTCCTCTGGTATGCCGTCGCCCGCAATTCTGTAGCCTTGCTCGGCCCTCCACGTGCTTCTGACATGCTGCCACTAAATCGAACCTTTTCAGGCGAAAAGTTGTTTGGGTTTCGGGTTCCGGAGTTTCGGGTCGTGGGCTTAGAGCTTCAGGGGCTTGAAGAGGGTCGTGGATGCGCCTGTAGGGATCTGGCCTCCCACACGTTTCCAAGTCTTGCCTCCCTGATGACAACCCTGCCGTGAGACCCTTTACCCAACGAGCAGGTGCCTCGATTCTCCATGTCGGCACGTAGCGGCAACGCGGAGAAAGGCGGAGCCGGCTCCTTGTCGACAGTTTGGCAGTGTAGCACCAAGTTTCATGAGTCCAGGGGTTTGGGGTCCAAACAATTATATGGTTTCGGCTTCTGCCTGCTTGTTTTTTCGAGGGTTGACAGGTTCTGCCAGGTCGAAGATTTCGGCGTCTGCGCGCAAGGATGTCGTTCGGTACGGTAACTAGAAAGCTCTGTACTGTATTGTTGCCCTAAACCCTAAACCCTGAACCCTAAACCCTAAATCTGCGAGCACGGACGTTGTTCGCCGCGGTAATTAGAAAGCTCTCTACTGTATTGTTGGATAAAAATACACTGCCGACCCTGCAATTGGACAGCCCCAAGACTTTAGGTCACTAGGGTATACAGTGTAAGCCTAGAACCAGCACTAGCTGCGTGATGCCCCCCGTGCTCCGGCGGTGCACACAACAAGGAGCCCACAGAGAGCAACAACGTCAACTCCAAACCGACACACCCGAGCCCTACACAGCAGGTCCTAAGCTCACTTAAACCCCTATAGCCGAACCGCACAGGCAGAAGTATGCAGGGTCCAATCGAGAACTGGCCGCCAGCAACGGTCGGCGACTCCGCCAGCGGGCTCCGGGTAACAGACCTGGGACAAGCGATTTCTGCTTCAGTTTCCGGCCTGACTTCGCGTTCACGCTTGGAGACTGGCAGGTTGAGGGTTCGGGTTTAGGTCTTAGGAGCTGGAGGCCAGTCCAGGAGGAAACATAGGTGAACTGTAGACCCTGCAGTAGCCATGCCTCGGGAATCCGGAATTATACCTAGCTCGACAACGCCAGCCACAACTTAGCGTTCCCATGGTGCTTTAACGGCTAGGGCTAGGGAGTCTCGCTCTGCTCATCGTCCACTGCGCCGCGGTTCTGACGCAAGTAACGGGTATGTCCCTGAATGAGGTATACGAGGATCTTGGAACACTCGCATAAGAAAAACTCGAACATGTCGACGTCCTGCATCTCCAGCTGGAAGGCTTCAAGCCACCGCACCTCATCGTCATGCTCTGCTTCGCGGATTCGTTTCTTGAAGTCTGCGAGAAACTTCTTGTGCGCCTGCAGCAGCAGGTGGCTGTAGGAGTCGCAGGCCTCTTGGGAAGAAGAGGTCAAGGAAAACTGGTGTGCGAGGCCGTTCAGCAGGTTTAAGACTTTCCTGGCACCGGGACCAGTCTCGGCAAAACTTCCGTTGCTAGGGCATGCCTTGGCACGGGAGTGCATGATGCGAAACTGGTTCCGAGCCAGGAAAGGTCCTGAGCCCTTCTGGTCGCGGAGCTGCCGCATGACTTCTCGCTTCCGCAGCCACAGGTTCTGGTCGGTTTTCAAGCGGATCCTCGGAGGCATTAGGTTGAGCTGAAATCTGTCCCTCAGCGTGGCGGGGGTCAAAAACTCGTCTTTGGTTAACCGCCGAAGAAAGGCTCGCTGACAGGACTGTGGCCGGAAGGATGTGGACAGCATGTTTTCGGGGCGGTCCATCAAGCCCCAGCACCACTCCAGGATTTTGGCGCACGGAGCCTCCTCGGAGATGTCCTCCGGCATCTACTATGCGTTGCGCGAGTTCGCGGCCCGAGAACCTGCTCAGGACGTATAGCTCCAAAGCGACTTGTTGAGCTTCGTGGAGTGGGATATGATTTCAGCGTGCAGGCGGCTCGTGATGTCTGTTGGCTCCCAGCTTAAGCGCAGGCACTCTGCCAAGTCGCCGACGTTAAGACGGCTGCGTGCTGCAGCTTGGACAACTTGGGTGTGTGTGGCGACACCAAATTCCACGCTCACAGGTTTCGTTGCCAGTCGGGACACAAAGCTTCTCTGTAGCCCAATGCCGTCATGCATGTCGCCGGCCCTTCTCACCAGCATGACATCGGTCAGCCTACCCAGGAAGCTGTCACGGTTCAGGACGGTCCAAGACTCCACATCTTCAACTCGTCGGACCTTCATGTGCTCTGGCTCGTCTCCTAAGCCCTATGAACCCTGAGGCTAAACCCTGAGCCCTGAGCCCCGGCAACCTTATAAGTTCGAAACCTAGCTGAAAGCGGCTGAAAACCAAGCACCCGGCAACACAAACTTCCTGGGCCCAAAACCGTTCTGCTCTGCTTGGACAAGCTAGGGCGCAGGTGCAATCACAGAAAAAGCATTTGAGACGACTCCACAACATTCGCGCTTGTTCAACCAAAATACTACCAACCTAAGCCCCAAAGATACAAGCCCGTGCCTAAGGAGTAAACAAAGTAAACGCCAACGCCGGGCTCTTGGACAAAGAACCCCACGTACACACACAGACACACAGACAGACACACGCGCACACACGCACAGACACACACAGACAGACAGACAGACAGACAGACAGACAGACAGACAGACAGACAGACAGACAGACAGACAGACATTTTTGACGCTTTGACGCTTTGCGTAGTCTGTGCTACAGTGATCATAGCCCGGCAATTGCGTGACTATGTCACAATGGGGATTAACATACCTGGCGGGAACAACTAATCAGGTGGAGGGTTGACGTGAAAGTCAAACTTCCACTTCCTTGCCGAACGATGTATAAAGATTTGTTGAAGGTGAGCGCGGGGATCCGGCTCGCACGAATGTTTGACACGATAAGCAACGCCTTTGGTTGGGCGGCTATACCCTAGAATGTACAAGCTGCGACAGTTGGTCAGGCACTCTCCCGGCAGCAACTGCACTTGCAAATGTTTTTTGAACCATTTGATGGCAGCCTGAAAAGTTCGCAAGTCTTCTGCGAAAGTGTAGGCCTCGAAAGGCACATCATGCTCACAATTGTTCCGCAACACATAAGAAGGTCGTTTCTTCTTGTTGGTAAACTTGTGAATGTTGATGGGGGGCCGCATGCGGGCACTGAAGATGAAATTGACAAGCAGTTCACTCATGGAGCTGTCGGCATGTGCATGGTTGTGTGCCCATTGCAGCTCGCGGGCCCATGCAGCTAGAGCGCGAGCAAACACAGGTCCGTACGGACACGTCGTCAACGCGTCGTCGTCTATCAATGCGATGTGTGAGAAACATCCGGATGACACGTCCAGGACAGAGATGTCGAAACGTGTGGAGGAAACGACGTGAGCTTTCTTGGCGAATTCATGCTGAGCACATCGCGCAATAAACCTATGAAATTGGCCCACGACATCTCGGATCTCATCTTGTTTAGCACATAGCGCACGGACTTGATTGAAGGAGAAAACATCGGCGTTTTTAACAGCCGCCTTTGCCGCGCTATCAGCAAGATTGTTGTAATGACGGCAACGATCCAAAAAAGGCGACAACTCAATGGACGAGCTGACATGGGCTTTGACTTTGATGATTTCTACGGACCCTGGTGGCCTGTCTACAATTAGGGCGTCAAACTTTTCCCAAAGATCGATGTGGGTCATGGCGGGCAAGGCGCGTTTTTCTAGGAGACATTCAATTCTGGTGCGGGCAGCATCAACGGCATATTGGCAGTCTGAATAAACTGTGCAACGCAGCGACAGCTGCAGTGCGAGCAGAATGGCACACACCTCAGCGCGGTCATTGGATTGCTCATAACCGGGCAAGACTATGGAATGCACAATGCCCTCGCCTTTGCAGGACATATCCGCAACAACTGCTGCAGCAGCCGAAACGGAAAACAAACGGTTGTGAGGCCAAAAACAAGATCCATCAACAAAGATGTGTAGCGGATCATCGTTGCATGGCACCGTCAAATGCAAATCTGCGGAATGCAATTCGGAGAACAGTGGCCATGGTTGAGCGCAAAGGGGCACTAAGCCGAACCGCCACACACCTTCAGGCAATCTCTGCAACTTCGAAAACAAACCGGGGAACTCAACGCGGAAGGCATCATATGCAGGGCATTCGAAAACACGATGGTGCTTGGAGTCAGGCAGATCACAATTTGGACACTTCAAAGTCTTAGATGCATCCCACTTTGACAACACGTCGTGGGTAAAGTTTCCGCCATGGGTGTAGAAACGAACCGCACCAAGCGCAGCAGGGTCAAGTTTGGACAATAAGTATTTCATACCTGAGATGTCAACAGCCGCAAGATTAAACCCAGGCCGTGTTTCCTTAAGGTCGGCGCAAACCTTAATCACCCACGTTTGAGACAGTGCAAACCAAAGGAACTTAGAACTACACCGAAGCCAATCAAGAGAACCGAACCAGGGGTGGTGCAACATCATACCATCTGGCTTCCACCCGATGGTCGCAGCAGCCGCTACAAAAGATCCAGCAGGCCTATTGGGCAGACCAGCGTGATCGAGCATGTGAAGGAACTCAGTTTTTAAATCAGGGAATTTCCAAAAGAAACGCCTCCAGAAACAACACCTATGGAAGAAGTCGGAGAGCTGCGGGTCAAATACGTCTCCAGCAAGAGCGAGTGCGAGTTTTGCATTTTCGCCTGGTCGGTTGAAACCAAGTGCTCTGGCGACGGAGGCACGCCATGTTTTGAACTCGGACGCGGATACATGTATAAGCGCTTCCCCAAATGTGCATCTGGACGACCCACCGTTGATCGCAAGACGCTTTTTGCAATGAACTGGCAGCTTGGAGACACGGACTTTGCTCATGGAGCTTTTCATTTTATGGAAGCGGGATCGCCACACGGTTTTTTGCCGGCGCAACGTGTAATTGACATCAACACCTAAATCCTTTGCATGCCAGACGAGAGGAATGGGCACACCCCGGTAAAACACCTGCCTCAACTGCTTACGGAGTTTCGACGAGGTGGCCCATACCCAAGATTTTTCGGGAGAAAGCTCAAGATGGAATGCATCACATACATCACACAAAGCCGTGAACGCAGTCTGAGCGGCTTCGAGGGTGTGGGAGGCAAAAGACCAATTATCAGCAAAAATGAAAGGGCATGCGCCCTTGTTGCTGAGGACAGAATGCGCCAGCAATGCCATGCATGTCATTGCGATGACGGACATGCTGCAACCTTCAGGAAACCCAGTTTCACTGTATTCGGCAGCACCAGCCGAGCCTTGAACAATGAAAGTGCGCGTAAAGGAACGCAACATGTTGTGGTAAGCTTCGACATAACAACAATTGATGCCCAGCTGGATCATCAAGAACAGGATGGGTTCTCTGGGCAGGGCATTAAAACATTTGATAATGTCAAAAACACCGCCTACCCTAGACAACCCCTGGAAAAAAGACGATTCCAAAAAATTTGCAACCATCGCGTTGATGTCTGTAACGGACATGCCCTTAACCCCCCCGGCAAGCGTAGGTGGCAGTCTGGACGAAAGCCAGTCAGCAATTTCAGACGACCTATATCTGGCCCAGCATCGGTACAAGCGACTCAAAACGGTGATGGGCCTAATCTGTAAAGCAGTGCAGGGGCCCTCGACTTTGGGGAGGCACATTACCAGAGCGAAAACGAGAGCTTCCGGCCATGCATGACCGTCCTCAATGGCATGAAAGAGATCAAACAAAGGTTGGAGAAGTGAGACCGGGATCAGCTTTAACCCGTGGACTGAAAACCCACACGAACCTCGCGCGGATTTGGTTGAAACGCCTTTCAACATGTGGGTCCACTTGTCAACCGAAAACGGGACATATGGCATGGGTTGGTGTTCAGGCATGCTGTCAACATACTTCATGGCCTCAGCCCAACAAGTATCTTCATTGTCGCGGTGGAACCATTGCCCCCACACGGTCCGGATTTCATGGTCAATCTCGGAGGGACAGACGAGCGTTTTCTTGACGGAAATATCAGGCGGCCACTCGCGTGGCGTCAGGGGAGGATGGACCCAAACCGCTGATTCATGCACATTCTGGACTACGAACTCCTTTTCATGATACACAAGAACATCGCCAATCGACAAATCAACCGTCGACTTCAATGGAATCTTTGTCCGACCAGATTTGGGCCATCGGACTGCTTTCACTGGCAAAGGCGTGATACGAACAATATGCGACAGCTGACATGGCTCGGAATTTTTTAATTGCCTGTAGGCCTTAGCCCCCCCGCGCTTCCAATCAAGGAGGAGCTCTTCACGTGATTCAACGGCCTTGGTGAGTATGTACAAACGTTCCTGGGCTGTAAAGAAATCCCGGACTGCGTTGTAGATCTCGTTGCACAGTGTTGGAGGCGGGACATTAACAGTCATAAAGATCCCCTGTTCAAACAACAACCATTGGCAAAAAGAACCAGGAAACCCTTTCGCATTTTTACAAGCACTCCACAGTTGGGTAGCACTGTGCACACACGCGTGATTGAATGGCAATGCTAATGTGGCAATGCGCTGCGTGAGCCGGCATAAGGATTGCAACCTGTGCACCTGTCGCAAGAGCCGTCGCAAGAAAATATTGCCCTGTGTCAACGTTGCATCAAAGTCCCCATCCCTGGCTTTCGGTACTACAGGGACCGAGCAAGGCTGTAGGACAGGCCTGAATTTGGTACAGCGACCTCGATAACCAGGGGGTAGTTTACGCGGTTGGCCGTCAGACCACACAGCCGATTGCATGAACATGGACTCGCATTCTTCTGCCCATCGACGAAACCCTTTACTCAGGTCACTGAGTTGTATAGCGTC